CCCAGCTAGAAGACTGAGTCTAGTTTTGGATGACACCTCAAGAAATATGCGGAGCAACTGGACAGAGTCCGGAAGGGCAAAAGTAAGAGGCAGCATTTAAGGCTGTTCAGTTCAGAAATCAAAAGACATAAGTGGTTATGCCAATAGTCTCAAATTCATAAAAAGCTGCTGAAAAAATTAAATTTTCAAAGGACTTTGGTGAATGATCCATTCTTTCCAATAACTGAAGATAGGATGAGATGGAACAAATTTGGGAGATTAAGTTTAGATATCAAAGAAAGCCTTCTTATATTGAATGTTAGTGTAAATGCTTTTATATTAAATAGCTATCCTTTGCTTGTACTTTGAAACTGAACCTCTGCCACTAGAAACCCTTAAAATGAACAGCAAGACAAGAATAAATAGGTACAAAAGAATCTCTATTAGAGAGGGACTAAATTACCTCTGAAGATCTTTTCCAGACCTATTTTGTATGACTTATTTGAATATTGGATTGACCATTCTATCCCTCAGCCTTCTACATTCTGAGGATTAAATGAGAATTTAACTGTCAGGATATAAAATGAGAAGACATTARCTTTCCATATCAACTGGATAAGACAGCCCTTTTTATGAAAATAATAGATTAAGTGGTAAAAATAACATGCAACTTGCACACAGGTGACCATGGTCAGCCTCTTTTAAATGTATTAATAAACTGATAAATAAATCAGTCATGACTTAATTTTCTCTTGATATTTTATTACTATTATCCATACCTCAGCCTTATAAACATGGCCTTATCATATATCATATATCATATATATATCATATATCATATATATATCATATACCATATACCATATACCATATACCATATACCATATACCATATACCATATACCATATATCATATATCATATCATAGAGATGATTTTGTTAAAATGCTTAGTAATCATGCATCTAATGAAATATTTCTAATACTTCTATGTTAAATCTAAGTATGTATCAATCATGTCCTATCTATATGGTGTTTTTATTTTTCTATCTACAAAATGATAGGCGATATAAATACTTCCTGAGTGGTGGTTTATATACAAGATTTTTATGAAAGCAACAAATCTCATAAAACCTAAAAGTTGTTGCTCCCAAACACAAGTGGGAATACATCCAGGTATTCAGGTTGGTTTCTTTTAACTGTGCTGAGGCTGATTGATTGAAATTTTTTGTTTCAAACAAGAAAGAAGAACTATCTGAGAAGTTTCACAGTCACCAGATATCTCCTGAGGCAAGGTAACATCCTAGGCTGTGGAAAGACACAGCATATTACCTTAGGACTTTTTCACTATGGCCAAGTTACCATGATCCACTTCACAGTGACTAGAGATGATTGCACAAAGAGCTCCTGGGGTTCAGCTGGTATCCTGGCCACATGCTCTAACTTGGTATTGTGCCCAAGAGCCCCAGAGACTCAAAGTGCCTTTCTGTTGGAATCTCTCTGAAGTTCTTTGAATATCTCCTAACCAATGCTTCTTTCTGATGACAATTTGTTGCATTCTGTACTGTCTTTCACAAAAAACCCTCTGTTTATCTCACTGAAACACTCTTCTAGAATATGTTTCAAATGATATGAGGTTATAATCTATGTTTGCCTGACTGATATGAGGTATTGCACCAGTCTCTGACAGCTATTTTCACAATTTAAATGATACTATTTTGACCTATGTTAAGTTCAAATGAATAAATGATTTGAACAATAAATGTGCTTTGTCTTCCTTTAAAATAAACTGAAATATCACTGAAAGGAAATTTTCTAAAGCACAACATGCTGTTAATGCATTCAGCTATTACATAAAGATAACAGGGGCTCAGGTATGTACTTTTGAAAAGCATTACCTGAAATCACTCTTATGTTCGAGCCAAGTAACGTAGCACGGCTCTTAAAAGAACAAGAATCATGAAAAAAACTGTTCTGCTGATACTGCTACAAATATTCTCACACAGAATAAAATACATATCTCATATATATAATGTATTATCTCTMTATATATTTTACCCTGGGGAAGAGGGAGGACAGAAAGGAGGGGTGAAAGAATAATAGTTTTGATATAGACCAAAAAGAAATATGACAGCTAATAAGATCAAGGAGAAAAATGTATGTTTTCCTTACATTTTTATTTTCAGCCTTGACTATAACCATATCACAGCTTTGTGCTTCAGCTTATCTCAGTCTTTATTCCTGACATAAATATTCAGTTCACCTCATAGAGATAACAGGATCACCCAAACTGTCAAGATAGCTAGAGACCTGCATGTAGATTTCATATCATTCTTCATTAAAGTGCTGTCTGTGATGCTGCCAGAACTAACAGAGTGTCTGATGCAGTTATATACWTATCTTTTGCAAAAGAAGAGGGGTTTTCCAGAACCTGTTATCACCGCCACTTTTCTTAATCAGTCTTCCTCTGTGACACAAAACCGAAATCTACTTACTGAATAAACGTTTTGGCATTTAATTAAATTTCTGATACTTCCCAAGGAACCAGAAAATCTGTTTCAAGGAGCAAAGTATAATGGAGCATTTAGGGGGAACTCTAGCAGGGAGAACTAGCTGCATTTTTAAAAGAATTTACATGATTAAGGTCTTTCTCTTTTTGCAGAACAATAAATTACTCAGTGTTGTGTAGTTGCTGCAGTTGCCCATTTCCAAAGACTAAGTGTATCTCCATTTACATTGGTGTGATTTGTTCTATTCATGATTTCCTCACTCTTTGGTAATTCACCCACTTCTTCCTTATTCTCTTCATTTGTTACCGGTATATTCCAAAATGTGATTTTCCTGTTGATTTACAGGGCTGCTGAGGCAAAATATATGTGAACCTTGTGGGATGGTTGTTCAACAGCAGACTGACCTTAGCAGGGCAATTGACCTGCCTTGCAAGTCAGGAGAGGCAAATAAACAAAACTCAGAATTAGCTGCCTGGGAACAGCTCATGAACAGCTCTGCATGCCAGCAGAGAGGCAACTGTGCCGGAGTTYCCCTTGCTAGACTCTGACCTGCTTGGAAAATAATTTAACATGATCTGTAATAGGAAAAGTCCAAAATTTAATTTTAAATCAACACTACTACTGATTCATTATCTGATCCAGAAGTATCTGGCTTGATTTTTTTGTTACTGAAACAGAAGATATTTTTTGATCACCTGTCTGCTGGAAGGAGTTTTTTATGTTGACTTTTAATAAGATAACAGTAGAAGAAGTAAGGACAGTTTGAGAAATTGACTTCTTAAACACTCTTCCCAATTATATAATTTTCAGTTAGCAAAAGTAAAATGAGAATATTGGTTGGGCATTTGATGTAAATTCCCAGTGACGGGAACCCATCTTCTGTCAGCAGATGATAGCCTCAGAGACTTGTATATGCCTGAATGTGGCCTGAGTCGGATCCAGCCAGAATGCTTGTAACCATAATATCAATTTAACAGTCTGATCCAAAATCCTGAATAATTTGTATGCTGTAGGATTTTTTCCAGGAAAGTTAGAAATCACTGAGGGGGATTCTGAGATGATCAGATGAGAAGGAAAGGGCCTTTCTTGCTCATTGAGTCTGCGAAACAATACAATGCAATTACAGTGCAAGCTTTTTTCATTTAATGTGGTGTGCTATAGAGAAGGAAATGAAATTGCACAGCTGGAAACTCAGTGTAAACACCATTTCCAAGAGAAGAGACAGAGGTTTAGGTGTTTGTATGGAGAGATGCTCTTGGATATTCCTCTACAGTGAGGCAAAAAATATCAGTCACATATGCTTCTCTTGCTGGCAGACAGTTTGATTTTGTGCTTTAAACTTTCCCAGTATAAAATACCTCTCTGTTCTCCATCTCTGCTGACTCATCTCTCTTTTCTTCTGCAGTTCATCTCATCTCAGAAAGGATATAGCTTTAAACGCTCCAGAATAGTGAAGTGTCACAATTTGAACAGAGGAGTGTTGCAACTTCAGTCTTTATAGGTGAGAAAGTGAGCCATTACATTAGCTAATTTTATCACATTTATGCTTGTGGAAGACAGATAGCTGAATCACTGTAATTATTTCAATAGTAGTATAAGCCTTCTAGGYGAAACAGATAATACAGTGCAAAATCAGGTTCTAACAGGCCTCACAAGTTGGTATTACTTTTAAACTTTATCTCCCACTGTCTATTTCCCTGCGTCTCCTTTCTTCTTTTTTCCATCTGATTTCTCTCTCACTTCTAACAAGGATTTTTCCCCTGTATARTCTCCTAGTTTCTTTGCTCTCCTTTGCCTTTCTTACTTCAACAATATCACTGACTTACTCTTTCTCTCTTGAATCTCTTTCTCTCTTTCTCTCTTACTCTTTCTCTCTTGCTCTTTTCAGTGGTGGCCAGTGACAGGACAAGGGGTAATGGGTACAATCTGCAACACAGGCAGTTCCCTCTCCATGTGAGGARGAACTTCTTCMCTGTGAGGGTGCCAGAGCCCTGGCACAGGCTGCCCAGGGAGGCTGTGSAGTCTCCTTCTCTGGAGGTCTCCAAACCCGCCTGGATGCAGSCCTGTGCCCCGTGCTCTGGGTGTCCCTGCTGGAGCAGGAAGGTTGGACTAGATGATCTCTAGAGGTCCCTTCCAACCTCAACCATTCTGGGATTCTGTGATTCTGTGACGTGGTCAGTTTGTTTGAAATTGAGTAGCAACAACTTCAGTGTTGCTACTCAGTGTTGCTATGATTAAACTCTTCCCTGCTGATAGGAATACTCCTAGAGTTCTGTCACTACCGCAATACGCATTAAGAAAAAAAAAAAAGGGGGGGGGGAAGAGAGAGAGAGAGAGAGAGAGAGAGAGAGAGAGAGAGAGGTGAGGAGTATTAATAAGAGAGACTTTCACACACTATTTGTATATAACAAGAACAACTTTGCTCATTATATGCCCATATATTTGCCCATAGTTGTTCCAGGAAAACCAAGAGATCCTTGCCAATGTTTCACATATTTCCAGAGTTGTACTCACCTCCCGTTAGCATGAGGGCACATTTACACATACAGTTGTCATTATCAGCATCCTTAGTACTGAACTCAGCACCATGTAAGATCAAGCTACTCTGTTTTCCAGCAGTTCCACTGTGACCTTTTAAGTAAAGCCTGAAACAGCAAGAAAAGACAATCAATGTAACCAAAAGGAAAAATAAAAGACYCAGGTCTCTTTCCACACAAGATTTGCCTTCTGTGGAGTACACACAAATATCAGATATGTTTTGGGTTTTGGCTCAACCTCCTTGTTGTTTCAGGTGTAGGATGAAGAAATTCAGGATGTTTCAGCAKATCTACATGATGGTCTACATGGTCCCTGTCTCAGAACAGAACAAAGTACAAGGAGTTTACTCTGGACAATGTGACAAAGTGGAGGGAGTCAGAGGCAGAAAAGAGAACAAGGAGAGGTGCCCAAAGATGTGGAATACACTGACAGAATAATTGAAAATTAGAGTAGCTGGTCCCTTTATTGTGACACAGAAAATCCCAGTTAACAGCAGCTGTGTTATTAATCTCTGTCCCCTAAAGACTATTTCAAACAGTTTCAAAATTTTAAATTTCATCAGTTAGAGCCCAAGCCAACTGTTCAGTTCCCTCTTCTGCCAAAGCTGTCCCTGAATGATGAATGGAGCRTAACTTAGAACTCAAGCCACAAAAGTCTTCCCAATTTGCAACACTAAATATCTCTTTGCTTAGAGCCCTATCAAGTAGCTGGAATTACAACCATGAGTTGGAGTCCGAGCCCAGATTCAACACAAAACATAGTCTATGTAATGCTTAGCGTGGCAATGCCCCAGACTAAACATGTAAGCTGCAAAGTTGCTGACAGAGATAGTCCTATTCCACCAGGGAGCAATGGAGGATCTGGGCACATCTCACCTGAATTCATAATAAGAGGCACATTCACACAGAAGTGCTGARGAGAACTTTGAACACAAAGTTTTCTTTTGCTTCTGCTCTCTGTCTGAGAAACAGTCATCACTGAGTCGAGTGACACAATGTCAAAAACTAATTCCTGACTTTAGCTACCTAATTCAGAGCATGGTCATTCCTACTTTTTTCTTAAAACACCACAGGAAGGCAAAGAGCAAAGAAAACACCACAGGAAGGCAAAGCTATTGCCATAATAGCTCATATTCAGGAAGGACGAGACAGGATCTACTTGAAAGAAATGAAACCATAATGATCATGCCCTAGGAGGAAGTCTCAACCACTGGGGCAAGGAAAGAGGGGAAGGAGCATCCACTACCTGTCTCATTAAAGCTCTGCGGGTAAAAAGGCCATCAGGCAAGCAACCAAGAACATTATATCAAGTGGGATAAGCCCACTCCACTGAAAATAAGGTGAGAAACATGATTTCTGCTTCTTCTAAGTTATTGGAGAAGGGGTAAAATGTCTCTTAAGTATCTAAAGTAAAATTCATAAGAGCAGAAGTAGAAAAGTGTGCAAGACAGGAGAGACGTTTCTTTCTTACTAGGATTAACATCTGGGAGTACTTTCCTAGAAAAAGTGTTCACAGGCTTTTCCCACAAACATAGTGAACAAGGGGAGCAGTTATGAGTCATTACTTGTGGATCCTGCCTCTGAGCTGTTGTATTTCATCCAGTGACTTGGGATGAATAGAAAAAATAAATGACTTCACTGGGATATCATTCTTCCATTTGCTTCCTTAGATACCTAGCTGCAAACTGGTCAGAGTCTCCACAGCAGGAGTAGAGAAGTCTCCAACTCAGATTAGTTTACTCATTTGCGGTTAGGATGATGAGTTTCTTCTGAGATGAGAAGACCACTTCTTCCACAGAAATGTAGATTCCTTGAGAGGAGGAGAAGGGAAGTACAGGTACCATATGGCAGCTTTCTGTAACAATTTCATGGCTAGTGTAGTCCTGCACACATCTTTGGGTGGAAGGAAGACCTAAATGAAATTAATCTGATGCAAGTCACCATGGAACCTAGTTGGGTTCTAATAATCCCAGTRAGGTTTGGTAGGATGTTGAATTACTAAACCTTATCAAGATGGGAAGGCATAGGAAAAGCACTTGCACGTCTGAAGAGCATAAGAATTACACTTGAAGAGTGATTTAAAMTTTATCCAATTTTCAATTAATGTCTCTCTCTTTAAAACATGAGRCATGCTGATAAGCATGAAGCTGTTAAAACAAAGAATTTGAAGGGAAGTGTCAGAGCTATCTGTCCAAAGTAGTTACACCACATTTTTTTCATTTAGTTTTAATGTTGCATGTCACCTGATCTGAGYCTGATGATCAAATACATTTTAATTAGATCCTTATAGTAAATTTTATATGTAGACAAATAGACTTTCTCTCTCATACATACACAGACACACACACACATAAATGTTTGGATTAAATAAAAATACTGTGAACAGCCACAAACCTCTGGATAGCATAGAAATGCTAAGGCAAAATGTAAGCTACATAATAAAAGTTCATCAAGATTCCTAAATGCTTAACAAGGAACAAGGTAGGAACAGAACTCATAAATGTCAACATCTTATGCTATTGTTCAATTATAATGTCAATTAGCCCATAATCAGCATGTTACGCTACCAAAGGATGCTTATGTTTTGCACAACTTTAAGAGCTAGTTTTGCTCATGTTCATTTCTTTGTTCCACACAAAGGAAAGGTTGGAATTAATCCCATCTTCATTCACTGGACTTTTGCCTTGTTTTGCAAACTGTGACTAATTTTTTGCAGAACAAAATAAACTTCCCTGAGGTTGTGTTGATAGAAAAATTACTTTGTCACATGATATCTACAATCTGATTTTACACTGCCATACATCCTCACTATACATCCAACACCAAACCTCACAGAAGTCTCATAAAGTCAGTACAAAAAGTTAGCAATATTTGCTTARATCAGGAAAGACAATGTTGGCTAGATCGTTTTATTAATAGTCAACACTATAAAATACACTGAGCCCAGTTAAAAATACTCAGATACTGTAAGAAAACAATGAAGAAATGAACAACACTTACTTCGCAATATTTTCCCCAAAGGGGTACGGCATTAGGATTATTTACAAGCTTATACTCTTTCCCTGATATTTTATGGACATTCCACTCAGCACAGATTTAGATCTTGCCAATTACATTTGACTTTCCCTCAACACCCATTGTCTGATAGGTCTCCAGTGACTTTGCAAGGATAAAGCACAGCTTATTTGTAAAGCTGGTAGCCTCATCATCCTGCAGCAGTGTGCACAGAAACCACTGGGGCAAGGTACAATCCCCTTGTTGGGGGCCTTCCTCCCTGAACCAGCATCACCAACTGGTGATTAAGGAGAAAAATGATATTGCGGAGCTGGCACTCCATGAAAACTGGGCTTTAAGTTTTTTTCTGCTCTTTCTGTGATGTCCTTGATGCCCTGTGGGCCCTGCCCAAGGAAGTACGCCTGCATGGCACTACCTTTCCTTCTGTGGCTGCTAGCTCCCAGGTGGCAGCAAAAACCTTACTATTTATACACTCCTTTAAACAAATTCACACAACCTGTTGTCACAAGAATTTCACCACTGTGTATTTTGCCTTTTCCCTCTCTAAATTCCCCCCTCTCTCCCCTTCCCCACCAGTGCTATTCCACTTGTTCATCAAGGAYGAGGGCACTGAGTGTACCCCAAGCAAGTTTGCRGATGACACCAAACTGGGTGGAGTGGCCGACACTCCAGAAGGCTGTGCTGCCATCCAGAGGGACCTGGACAGGCTGGAGAGTTGGACAGAGAGGAAYCTCATRAGGTTCAATAAGGACAAGTGCAGGGTCCTGCACCTGGGGAGGAATAACCCCAGGCATCAGTACAGACTAGGGCTCRACCTGCTGGAGAGCAGCTACACAGAGMGGGACCTGGAAGTCCTAGTTGACACCAAGTTAACCATGAGTCAGCAGTGCCCTCGTGGCCAAGGCCAATGGGATCCTGGCTACATCAGGAAGAGTGTGGCCAGCAGGTCAAGGGAGGGGATCCTGTCCCCCTCCTCAGCTCTGGTGAGGCCRCACCTGGAGTACTGTGTGCAGTTCTGGGCTCCCCAGTAACAAGAGGGATATGGAACTTCTAGAGAGGGTCCAGCAGAGAGCATCAAAGACAATTAAGGACTGCAGTATCTTTCTTATGAGGAAAGACTAAGTGAGCTGGGCCTGTTTAGCCTAGAGAAGACTGAGAGGAGATCTGATCAATATGTATAAGTACCTGCGGGGAGAAKGTATGGATGAGATGGTCAAACTCATCTCAGTGGTGGTCAGGGACAGAACAAGGGGCAATAAGTAAAAGCTGAAACACAGGCAGTTCTACCTCCATGTGAGGAAGAACTTCTTCACTGTGAGGGTGACAGAGCCCTGGAACAGGCTGCCCAGGGAGGTTGTGGWGTCTCMTTCTCCAGAGATCTTCATCATCCTGCCTGGATGCCACCCTGTGTCCTGTGCTGTAGGTATCCCTGCTTGAGCAGGGGGGTTGGACAGCATTCCCACTTACTTTCAGAAGGAAAGTTCTAAAGTCCAAGGAGAATAGTGAAAAATTACTCAGATTTCCAATTTAAGAGAGATGAACAAAGTCATGCTAGAATAAGCAAGAATAACAAGTCTGAATTATCTGCATACAGTGAAACTAAAATAGCAACAAAAGCAGCATTAGAAAATAAATCAAGAGTAAGCAAGAGTATGAGAATATATTGCTGAYGTAATATATTATTTTCTGAGAATATATGAAAACATGTCATTTTTACAGAGTTGTAAGAAATTATGAGAAATTATCAGTCTTCCAAATACTCAAGGAGAACCTGAACATTAAAAAAAATTCAACTGTTACCTTTTTATCTAGCATGAGTGTTAGAAATTCTCTTGGCATTTTTTCCGTATGATAATGTAGCATTGGCAGCTTGGGATCTGTACAGACAGATGGTGAGGAAGAACTCTCTTAAGCTTGTTTTGCTTTTCACCACTCCTACTGTGTGACACAATTTGATTATCTGCAGTCCCKCAAAACCAAACTAAAAGTATATTGTATGAGAAGTATAGTTCTACCAAATGTTACATAAATATCTGTGGGGAAGCCTAAAAAAAAAAACCAAATTTACATCAGATTTTTTTTTTTCCTTTTGA